GATACAGGAATTGAAACAGAATCTGGATTTGCCAACTAAATACAGAAATACCAGTTAATACAGCCCTGACTGCTCAGTCCTGGCCCATCAAACACAGCAGGCTGCATTCCCAGAGATGCACCAACATGGAATACGTGCTTGCACTGTCAGGGTAAATCTTACATCCTAACCTTTAAGTCCCAGCACTAAAATATGATCCCAGCCAGTCAGCAAACATGGACAGAGCTGGTATATTTTAGATGAGGAATAGATTTGGAAAGGTTCTTTGACAGGCCTATTCCCCCACAGCCACCCAATGACATTTTAAATCATTCAACTGAACTTTAGCAGAAAAAAAAAACCCCAAAAACCCAACTTCTGCCAAGAAGGGTGAAGAGCACAGACCACCACACTTCCCAGATGGACAACCACCACTGTCAGTGTCTGAGGTGACAATCTGCTTTCTCTGTGTGTGTCATTTACTGACAGACTTTGGGTCACTCACCTAAATCAAGCAGAGCTGCTTAACAAGAACACAACATCCCCAGGATCCTCCCCAAATCCACACCTGCTCCTAGGCCAGGCTGAAGAGGTTTGATCAAAGAAAGGTGTTTGTGTAGCACAACCTTCTGAAGCAGTGCTTAAAGCAAAGAGAGCAGGCTCTCATGATTTCAACTTTTCAAGTTTTAAACCAACAGAAATATTTGGGATCAATTGGCAGGGTTTCAGCTCTGGCATCAGCAGATCTGATGTTGTCTCTATTCCCTTCTCCAGGCTCCATCTACCCTAGATCTGGTAAGTGCTTAGACATTAATATTCTTTTTTAGAAAAGTACTACAGAGGAACAAGGCCCAAGGCAGTGATTACAAATATTATTATTTCAGTGGTTGGCTTCTAGCAAAAATCAGAGCTCCGTTCCTGCTAGAAAAGACCTTACTGCCAAGAGGTTCTGCTGCACTTTCTGCAGGGAGGATTCAAGAAGAGTTTTCACCTTTAACCTGATCTGAGATCCCTGAGTTACCAGAAAAATTCATTCAAGTCCTGGAAGAAAGAGTGGGGGAAGGGAAATAACAGCATAAATTCCATCTGAATTCAGGGGCAGAGCTTGAATCAAAATGCAAGAGCAATGTGCACGGGAGGAGGGAGTGTAGATAATTTACTAATGCTGTTGTAAAGTTTATGGAAGTAAAAAAAAAATTGTAGAATTTGCTCTTTTAACTATATACACCCACACAACCTGTCTTGGTAACTCTTTCTATCATTAATGGTCACCTGAATTAAAAAAACAACCCTAACCCACATATCTTTTTTTTCAGTCAGATGTTACCTTACCTCCCACTGTATTTTAATTATCAATTGCAATTATTTCCCATTGTATAACTTAGATTATTTGACGCAAAGCTTCAAAGCTTTGTGTTTCAGATACAGAATTACTTTCCTTCTTTTTAAAGCTGAGTATGGGTGGATTCACTGGGATTAGCATACAGATCAAGTATTAGGATAACAATCTGTATTTTAAAATCAGCAATGATAAAAAGAGACTTAAAAGGCATCCTGCTGAACTGATTCCACATCCTGCTGATTCTTACACCAAACAGTTTCACTGCAGAGTCAATAAAAGGAATGTCACCAGTATTGAAGTTTAAAAGTGTCTTCTAATTCCTCTCACCAGAACAGGAACGCAGTTTTCAAACATCTCCACACACGTGTAACAGTCACCTGCAGTGAAATTCACTCTGGCAAAGCAGAACTGCTTGTGCATTTGATTACTGTAAGAGCAGTTCTATGACTAATTCAGAAATGACACAGACCTGTGATAAATCCAAGATGTCTATTTTTAGAACCGTATCAAGTCAAAAAACAAAAACCAAGCCTAGCCTGAAGTCAGGCTTATAATTAGTCCGTGTTCTTTTGCTGGACTTCAAAATGGAAGTGCTTTAATCTGTCCTAAAACATCCAGAGTGTGTCTCACAAGAGACCCCACAGCCTGTGCTCCAGTTCCAGCAGTCAGCACCACCAGAACTGTTATACAGCACAACTGAAACGGGTCATGAACGCTGGAATACATAACCACAACAACATATCCCCGTTTCTCTTTCTTTTTCACCTCTTTGGGAATGTGAAAGTGAAGCCATTACTTTACCAAAACACAAATAGGTATGACACAGCTCCAAAGGTACAAAAACACATTCCAGCGTGTGAACACATACCAGAGGAGAATTAGTTCCTCTGATAACAGGAACAGCACAAGGTTTCAGCCACCCAGTATGTGCGAGCTACAGGAAAAACACCAACCCAACTCACCAGTTCAGTGAGCAACTTAATGGGACAGCCCAGCCCTGAGAGCTCAGTCCCCAAAGGGGGCACAGCCGGGGGGAGCCTGCGGAGGAGGAATCCCAGAATCAATCGGGCTGGAAAAGACATCCAAGATCACCGAGCCCGACCTTTGAACAAACAGCACCTCGTCAAGCCGACCATGGCACCCACTGCCACGTCCGGCCTGTCCTCAAACACCTCCAGGAACGGTGACTCCACCACCTCCCAGGGCAGCCCATTCCGATGGCTAATCACCCCTTTCTGTGAATAATTTCTCCCTAATGTTCACCCTACACCTCCCCTGGCGCAGCAAGGGGGAAGGAGCCCAGGCGCCCTTTCTCCCTGCCCGCCGCAGCCACCTGACAGCGCTCCGCTCCGAGAGGACGAGCTAAAAATAAATACACACAAAAATAAAACACATCCGGGCCTGCGCCC